CAATCCCTAAAAATGGCTTTTTTGTTGCATCAGTCAGGAGCCCTCTTCTAAACTAAATGGCCAAATGTTTGTAGACACTCGACCATCACCAAGCCAATGGTGTTTGTTCCCTAAACTTTTAACACAAACTTAGAAACACACAATTGTGAATGCTGTAGCATTACTATTCCCCACAGCCACACTCCAAAATCTAGTGGAAAGCCTTTCCAGACGAGTGGCGCTTATTATAACAGCAAAGGGGGACTAAATCTGGATTTTCAACAAGCACCAGTATTGGCAAAGCTACTTTGAAACTGTTGCTTTTCAAGCTACAAGCTACTCATAATGTGAAGAAGTTAAGCTACAGTCAAGCTACCCTTAGTAGTAGTTAGCTAATCCACTACAGATTACTAATTTCTACTTCAAAATTGTATTCTGATTGCATTACTGATTACTGCATGATTACTAATTAGTTTACTAAAACCTACAGAAATATGCTACAAAGTTTACTCACAGTTCTTTCATTTGAAAAAGTAATTTGTTACTGGAAAAGCTACACTATTTATATACTAGCAGAGCTATTCTCACGTTAATGAAAAATGTAGTTAAATTAGTAGCGTCCTACTGTGGTAGAGCGGGTTGTCAAATAATCGTAGGGTTGGTGGCTCAATTCCAGATGCCGGACTGTGTCTTTGGGCAAGACACTGAACCCCAAGTTGCTCCCGATGGCAAGTTAGTGCCTTGCATGGCAACTCTGCTACCATTGGTGAGTGTGTGAATGAGAACCAGTGTAAAGCACTTTGGAACTGTTAAAAAAGCATTACATAAGTGCAGACCATTGACCATTTTACTCCTCAACACTGTCAAGCACATATCGGTGTGATGGTCAGGTGTCCACAAACATTTGGCCATATAGTGTAATCCAACACTTAACGTCTGCATAGGCACAGCGAGTCTCACCAGCTAGTTCAGGAGCTCAGAATATGAACAATATTATCTAAACATAAAAATATTAGATAATTAAAAACATAGATAATGCTTAGTGGTTAGCATGTTTGCCTCACCCCTTCCAGGGTCCGGCGTTTGAGTCCCGCCGGGGCCATGTGTGTGCGGAGTTTGCATGTTCTCCCCGTGCTGCGGGGGTACTCCGGTTTCCTCCCCAAGTCCAAAGACATGCATGGTCGGCTGTTCGGCATGTCTAAAGTGTCCGTAGTGTATGAGTGGGTGTGTGAGTGTGTATATAATTGTGCCCTGCGATGGACTGGCACCCTGTCCAGGGTGTACCCTGTCTTGTGACCAATGCTTCCTAGGATGCTGAGGATAGGTTCGTCGTTCACTCGTGAAAGTGTAAGTGTATATATATAATGAAATATTATTTTAAAAAAAAAATAATAATAAAAAATAAAAATTAACATGACATACTTTCGCACTGAATGAGAATTCACTTGGAAGTGGACAGACACCACTGTACTCAGACACTTTTGGAGTTTTTGTCTGCACTCGAGTGTGAGTGCTGTGCTCTCACCTACCTAAAGAACAGCACCACGGTGGAAAAACACACCAGGGCTCCATTCAAACTGACTAAACGCTGGACATGTGAAAGTGCCCTAAGAGTGCATTGTATTTGGTACTGCTCTTTGAACGCTTCATCCTGATGTTCTTCCTTTCACAAAAACGAGCAGAAGTTCAGGTCACCCCACTGTGCATCTCTGTCTATGATGGGGAAACTCCTGCTGCTCCAGAAAAGGAACTGTTTCTCACTCATGCCTCAGTAATGGAGCTCCTGTCACTCCGACCATCAAACTGCAGATCAAACCACCACTTAATTGGTCACACGAACATCAGGAGTGCATCATTTCCTAAGTGAAGATTATGTTTACACCCAAAACAAAGGGTAGAATCTGAAAAATAAAGGTGGCAGAGAACTCTTGATGGATCTTTAACCATTATGTGGAATTATCTATTAACTCAGCAGAGCAAGGTTTACAGGTTCATCCCTTACAGAAAAGTTTTGACACTTTATTGTTATTAATTTCACGTGCAATTTTTTGACATGATTCATTTATTTTCGTTATTTTTGCTCATTATTAATTTATTTTCACTCATGAAATGTCACTCATACGTCATTTATTTTTCACTTCTGATTTCTACACAGGATTCATTTGTCACATGTTTTTTTTTTTGTTACGTTTTATTTATTTATTTATTATTTATTATTTATTTTGTGGGAAAGACAAAAGTAACTGAAAAGATAATGCTGCTTCTTTGATTTTTTTCAGTGTTTCAACTGGAAAACTAGTCTGCAAATTAATGTCAGGGCTCGTCCTGAGAGGATACACATTCCCCAGACAATTCGGAAATGCCGATCAGCCTACTGCGCATGTCTTTGGACTGTTGGAGGAAACAGGAGAACCTGGAGGAATTCCCCGAAGCATGAGGAGAGTTTGCAAACTCCACACACAGATGGCAGAGGCAGGAATCAAACCCCCAACCCTGATGGTGCGAGGCAAATGTGCTAACCGTTAAGCCACTGTTCCCCTCTCACAGAAGCTCACTAATCTCAAATTGAAGAAAAATATTTGAGAAAACCAAGCATTGCAATCTTTCTTGTAATCAATTTAGGTAAACCACGACAGGATCTTAACTGTGCTCCATGCAACAAGATAATCCGCACTTATATAGCGCTTTTTTAACCTTAAAAAAACACTTTGCAGTTCTACACTGGTTCTCATTCACCCATACCAATGGTAACAGAGCTGCCATTCAAGGTGCTAACTTACCGTCAGGAGGAACTCTAGGTTCAGTGGCTTGCCCAAGAACACTTCAGCATGTGGAGTCACGTGGGCCAGGAATCGAACCGCCAACCCTCCAATTAGTGGTGAACCCACTCTACCACCTGATCCACAGCCGCCCGATAATTCCTTGCTGAGATGTTGTGTACAGACAGAGCTCTTTCTCTCCTGAAGTGCATCTCAATGGAATGAAAGCAGGGCAGGACCGAAATCACTGTCCATTCTTTTCCCACAGCCTGAGTGAGTCTACAAAAGAGACTGATTTCTCTTAAAGCTTCAGGAAGAAGTGTGTGACGTTCTGGGAGCCAGCTGATTGTTCCCAAAGCCTTACTTAATGAAGTGCTGTTTAAAAGATGGACTCATGATTCAATTACAGTCCTCTCTTTTAGCGCACTTGCAGCTCTGTAGCTAAGTTAAGTTGAGAGAGGTGATCTGTGGTTCCGAGAGGCTCAGGATATAAACTTTCAGTGTTTATTACCACCATACCACTTCAGTTGCTTATAATTTATAAAGCAAGGTATTTAATATATAATGGGATGTTCAAAAAGCGCACATGGGCATGACGGTCAGGTGTCCACAAACTTCTGGCCATATACGTATCGTATTATTTACCAGTTGAGCTCGGCTGAGTGCAATGAATGTACAGCCATCGAAAAAGACTCGATACTGTACCAAATGCCAACAACCAAAAGTCATCAAAAATGAGGAGATAATGCTGCCATGTGTCAAATCAGTATACCACACGGTCGATCAGACTGCACAGATTTACAGAATGTAAACAGAGAGGCGACATTAATTCACAGTCTAACGCTCTACATAATACCCTTCCTTCTGTTTCCACTTGTGCCATGAATTCTTTTATCTAGAGCAGCAGATTTTGCTCTCAAGAATTTAGCCTGTTAGAATGTCAGACTGTCCCTCAGAGTCTCCCAGTCACCTCTATCAGCACGTTAGGGAGTCTCATAAATTCGGTATCTGCCTCATACACTTTTAATTCACATTCATTTCAGTGCTCAGGGAGTTAGGGGGGGGGGTGGTGGTGGTGGTGGTTGTTAAGACATTATCACCAAACGATATCACTGCACTCAAACAAGAGAAGAACATTTAAACAATCACTACACTATATTTCATCTATTTATTCATGATCTAAAGTGAATTAAAGAATGTTGCAGGCTGAATGAAAAAACACAGGTTCACCCAATATTTGTTTATAAGAGAAGTGGTTAGGAGAATGTGTTAGATTTTCAAAAGCATCAATATGGTGGCTCATAGTCCATCCATCCATCCATCCATCCATCTTCTACCGCTTACTCCTTCTTCAGGGTCGCGGGGGAACCTGGAGCCTATCCCAGGGAGCATCGGGCACAAGGCGGGGTACACTCTGGACACAATCACATACACTCACACACCCATTCATACACTACGGACACTTTAGACACGCCAATCAGCCTTGGTGGCTCGTAGTGAATTTCGTAATTATGTCATGTAAATTCTGATGGATTGGAAGTAAGTCTATCCCAAAATAAAATCACTTATAACACAGTGCTGTTGAATTCTTGAATCTGATTGGTCAGACGGTGTTGAAACGTTTTCTATAACAGCATCTCTGACAGCAGTTCTGTCTGCGATACGTTATCACTTCTATAGAAACATCTAATACTCAAGGACTCGCATACGGCAGACGTATAATCGTCGATACGTCGAGATGTTTATTTAACATTTATGTACGTTTCATTTATATAAGAGTCTCCAATGTTATGGAATTAAATTTGTGCCAGAAGTGTTGAACGTAACTTTTCAAGAAGCAACAATAATATACACGGAGAACTCTGGGAACTCGGTGGCAAAAAATTTAACACGGTCGTGAAATAAACGGCGTTCTTTGTTAACAGTTTTAACACTATAACTATACAGAGAACCGCATCCAGAACAGTCGCCAAAATTCATGCCACTGAAGTCTCTACTTCCAGGTCAGGGAGCCGTCAGTCCAAATCTCAGCAGTCACTGAGAGTAAATTGCTGTTTACTCTCATTGACCACGGTTGTAAAAAGTGGTTATTTGAGTTACCGACGCTTTCCTGTCAGCTCGAACCAGTCTGGCCAGTAAATGCTTCGTGGACGTTTTTTGTTTTTCACACCATTCTGTTTAACCTCTACAGACTGCTGTGTGTGAATAATCTCAAGAGATTTCTGAAATATTCAAAACAAGAGCATCTCATAGCATCACGGGGGTAGTGGTGGCTTAGTGGTTAAGGCTTTGGGTTACTGATCGGACGGTTTTTGGGTTCAAGCCCCAGCACTGCCAAGCTGCCACTGTTGGGCCCTTGAGCAAGGCCCTTAACCCTCTCTGCTCCAGGGGCACCTTATCATGGCTGACCCTGTGCTCTGACCCCACTTTCCTGACAGTCTCGGGTATGCGAAGAAAAGAATTTCACTGTGCTCAACTGTATATATGACCAATACAGACTCATTATTCATTATAGCAAGAACCATGCCATGTTCAAAGTCACTCAAATTTCAATCTGATGTTAGATCTGATGTGTGATGTGACTCTTCACCTAAATATGCACGATTTTATTCATTGTGCTGCTGCCACATGATTGGCTGAAGTGTAGAGCTGTTCTAATAAATGGGCTGTTGAATCGATATACACTTAACAAGGACTCGTTTATAAAGCAGCTTCAAGTTGTAATAACTGTAATGAAGATATCTTCCAAAATTCAGGGCTTTAGTGAATTATTATAAATCTATGGCCTGTTTTCGTCTTCTCTTCCACTGGTTGCATATTTTATGGACCTGCAGCTGTTTATGCTCCTGAAAATCAATAAATGAAATATGAACGGAATCAAAATCCATTCCCTTCTCTAGTTCAATCCTACACCCTCATTACCTCTTTCTACGTCTGTTTTTCTACTTTTCTTTTGATACGATCTGCTTGTGTAGATGTAAAACCTTTTCTGACAGAATGAGAGAGAACAATACAAGGTTAGCTCTCACTCGTTTTATGCAGTGAGAAGAATGCTGACAGCCAAGAAAGAATGAAAGTGTCGTGTGAATAAGAATGAGAGAAATCAGCGAATTCTGCACCAATCAGCTATTCAGAGTTGTACTTCATTTAATGAATATCAGACTGTGACAACAGATAAAGCAAATTACTGCAGATAATTGCTTGAGCCGGGAAAAAGGGATGAGAAGGCGAAAACGGCGTTCGAAAGGGGAAGTTGGATGGAAATTTAGCTAAGAGATTAAAGCATCTCTGAGCATCAATCAGCTTATCTCTTTACCGTTAAGTGTATTGGACTTCGAATGAATTCAATTATTTGAGATGTTTCAAGATCTTTTTATTTTTTATTTTTTACCTGAACGTTCCGGTTCAGGGTTCTTTTCATTACTCTAACTGACTCCTTCATCCTTCATCCTTTAAGCTTGTGACCTGGGAATCGATTCATGAGAGCTATTTTGAGGCCATGTCAATTTTTTGTTTTGTGTTTGTGGGCCTACTGCAAAACTGTGACAATAGATCATAACATCAGCCATAACATTAAAACCACTGACAGGTGAAGTGAATAATATTGATTATCTTGTTACAGTGGGATATATTAGGCAGCAAGCAAACACTCACTTCTCAAAGTGGCAAAAATGGACAAGTGTAAAGTTCTGAGCGATTCTGACGAGGGCCACATTGTGATGGCTAGACAACTGGGTCAGAGCAGCTTCAAAAACGGCAGGTCTTGTGGGGCGTTCCCGGTATGCACTGGTTAGAACCTACCAAAAGTGGTCCAAGGAAGAACAACCATGACAGGGTTTTGGTGTGTATATAAATATACGTAACATAATATATAACATTCAACAACTGAGACATAAACTTAAGAAGTTTCACAGACATTTGACGAAGAGAAATGGAATAATGGGTCCCTGAACCAAGGGGGGTCAATATTAAAAGTGACAGTCAGTATCTAGTGGCCACCAGCTGCTTTAAGTACTACAGCGCATCTCATCCTCATTGACTGCACCACATTCGTCAGTTCTTGCTGTGAGATGTTACTCCACTTTTCCACCAAGTTCTCGTTCACGTCTGGGCACACACACACACACACGGTTACATGTAATTTTCCAATGCGAGGACAATCAGCTGTCCTTCCTGTCTCCCTGTAGCACTGTCTCAGCCGTCTTACATTAAAGACATTGCAGTTTATTGCTCTGGCCACATTTGCAGTCCTCATGCCTCCCTGCAGCAGGTCTATGGCATGTACACGCAAGTGAGTAGGAACCCTAGTCATCTTTCTTCTGGTGTTTTTCAGAGTCAGTAGAAAGGTCTCTTTAGTGTCCTAACTGTTCGTGTCTTAAAGATTGTCCAACAGGTGCATGTACAATAATTGTTTATGCTTCATTCAACAAGCATGAAAAACATCCTTTAAACCCTTTCCAATAACGATCTGTAAAGCTTATTTGAATTTTACAAAATGATCCTTAAAATACAGTCTCCTGAAAAGTGGACGCTTCTGTTTTTACTGAGTGTATATGTAGACACAGACACCTAGATGTCCTTAGGACTAGTCTTGTAAAGAGAAATCTGTTCATTAGATGCACAATTATGATGACAACAGCTATTAAATCAGCATATTTACATTACATTACATCTGTTTGCGAATAAGAGCATTGCTACTGTATGTGTATAGTGTATGTTTACTCATCTATTTGAATCAAACTTAAATGTTAAAATTGAATGTACAATTAACCTTGACCTGAGGAAAGATGCGCTGTTTACTTTATGCATTTGAATATCTTGCTTCGGATTGAATTAGGTTGAGATCAACCCGCAGCATAATTTGAGTCAATATTGGTTTGCTACAAGCAAAAATATGTTTGATTGGTTGTTACAATAACCCTAATGCTGAATATGACGTGACATATCTCATAACAAATTCACAAAAATAGGCTTTTGCTACATTATGAGAACATTTTGTCTCTATTATCCTAAGACGGCTGGTTTTGCCAGTTACTTTCCCCCAATTCTTCGTCCCAAATCTGATAAATAAATGTTTATAATTGTAGCAATTGCGCAACTAAATCCGGGGATTTCTGCAACCTATGGAACCCTCTTGGACAGTCAACTGAACACAGGTTACCTCAGCCAAGGGACAACAGGAGCCAGGGGGATTGTGAGAGCCCAGGGACGTACTAGTTCGAGGCCTGGTTGTTGCGTCACCTCTAGAACTTAGTGAGGCTGTCAATGCTGCACCTCCCGACCATGACAAGGATGTCGTCACTCATCCTCCTGGCTCCACCGAGAACATCTCTCCGCCACCTGACTGTCAGAGATGAGACTACTGAGACTACTACTTTCAGTCAATACCTGTCTGTAGACTTCCGACATTCTGTTCAAGGCCCTGGACCTATTTTGGATCCTGTAGTTGTGTGCCAAGAGGCATAATTAAAGTTTCTGTCACGTAGATTTGAGTTCTTGTCACGTGGTTTTGTTTATATCATGTATTTGTGTCTGGCCATGAATGTTTGTTTTGAGTCTGCTCATATTTTATTCTCAGATATTCTCTGTTCAGCCATTGATTAGTTTGTTTGTTTATACCCTGAATTCTCATCATTCATTTTCTCCATTAAATCCGAGCGTTCCTGGTTTAGACCTTCGACCGTTTCCCCATTTCTCAATTATGGATTACTCTAGTTTGAATCTTTTAGCCTGAATGTATTCTGATTCCCGCTATGGACTGGGACGATGAGTACTGGATTCACCCTAATAAACACCACACTGATTCGACACACTTGTGTCTTGCCTCCAATACACACGTTACAATAATAACGTTAACCTGGTTTGGTGTAATGTGTTCCAGCAACACGATTTCATATTATTGATTCTAATGTGTTATTTCTTAGAATAATATCGTTTCGAAATATCTGTCTAACTAGGTGTCACTTATCTTCGGCAAGAAAATGCATAGAGAATACTCGGCTTGGAATTCATCTTGGGAATTGTAGATCATTAAGGCAAACAAAATGTGCACACAAAGCCATCTGCATTATGGCAGCAACTCGGGGCTTCGACGAGTGAAAATGTTAAATGAGAGAATAAAACTCGACGAGGAAAACTCAATAGAGCTAGGAGAGATGCTGGAGTCTGAATAAGAGAGATAACACCTTAATTCAATTTCTCATTCCCCTACTGAGGATTGTCCATTTTATTCATTCTAATGGACAGGAAGAGATGTTTGTCTCCACTGCTGCAGGAAGGAAAGCGTAACAAAGCAGTGGACCAGTTCCTCTGAGTTAAGCTTGGATTTAACTCCAGGCATTCTCATCAGCAATTGGATTTGAAGTAGTGTATTATGTGTCTCCCTGAGATATGAGGGAGGGGAAAAGGTAATATTTGTGCATTTCTCATTTGCAGTGACCATGAACAGATACCCCAGAGCTGCAACTATTTGTCACAGAGTGCCTCATTTTTAAGGAATGCCCTGAAGTTCTACCTCTTTTTCTTTGACTTTGCAGACATCTTGATATATTGCAATACCTGGTCCAAATAGACCAGAAGGCAATATTAGGAGTGTTGATCCATAAGGAGGTTATGAACTGCAGAACACTGCTTTAGTGAGTACTGGTTAGGCATTCCTTCTACGGGAGGCGCAGGGCTTACATTTGCAAATAACATTGTTTGATTTCTACACAGCTTTCTATGACACCATAAAGGCACCTTGAGTGTGCTCAGGCTCACGTTTGTTAGCTAATTTTGTAAGTAGTTGTCAAGTCACCATCATTATCACGCTGCGTCTCTTCCAGAAAGCAAGCATGGTAAGCATAAACGCTGCACTTGCAATTAGTCAGGTCTATGGGATGTGCGACTCTGTAGAATCACCTAAAACATATACCACTCATAGGCTGCATGAATCTACAGTCTGTGCTTGAAAGCAATCGGCCCCGGTCTTGCTTCTTCAATCGCTTCTATGAATGTTTCTTATTATTGGTGCTGTTGTTCTTGATTCCACAAAAGTCAAACATTAAGCCTTTTATAACACCAAATAAGACAATGCGGATCTATTTCCTCTTTGTAAAAGATTGAGGGCTTAGCTGTGCTAGACCTTTTAGACCAGCCATCCTCCTTAACGTTTTATTCACCACCAGATCCTTAGTTCTAGTCTGATGTAGGTAGGTAGTGGTATCTATAGTTAGGTTTTCAGTTATCGATTGATTTATTTGAATAAATCATCCACATCAGAAATAGATCGACTGTAAAGATGGCCGACAGTTAAAGCATTAACGGTTTGGATCCACTGGTGTTGCTTTTAAGGGGGT